TCCACAATAGAAGAGAAAACTGTTGACGAGCGTGTTTCGCACGTTCCTTCGTTCCTTCGTTCCTTGTATGTAGCCGATCTCGATCGGAGCGCCGCTCAGGTGGCGCCACCTGCTCGGCGCGTAGGAACACTAGGCCCCCTCGGAGTCATGTCATGTGTTCGCTCAGTATATTGCGGCCTCTGCTTGCGTACGGTCGTTCGTGTGGGTATCGGGATCGGCTGTCGCGGTGGCGCGTTTTATACTTCGTAAACCGAACCCGCGATTCGTCGTTGTCCGGTCGTGGTTCGCGGGGAACGATTCCCAATATTTGTGTTCCGCGTGCGTTCCTCGCGCATCGAGTGCACGTACGTGGGTACGGAGGTTAGGGGGGAATAAAAAGGACGGAAAAACTTGGCGGATAGAAGTGCGTCGCCTTCGCGCCAGTAAAGGCGTCCTTCCGCGTTCTCTCGTGCACACTTGGAGTCGCGGCCGATCGTGCGAGTGAGTGATTTTTCTGTCCAACGAGCAGTGCCCCAGGAGGACGGAAGTAGCTGTTAAGTGAAGTTCCTCGGCTTTTCGCGATCAGTCAACCAGAGACCCGTAGGGATGACGAGGTAGCCCCCCATCCGAGGGATTGGATTACCATGCTGGACACGGCCACGAGTCGCGGGTAACAGAGAACCGTGTGCGCCCCGTGTAGACGCCCCCCCCTCCCCTCTCCTCCTCCTCCTCCTCCTCCTCCTCCTCCTCCCTTCTTTCTTTGCTTTCCTGTGTTCTTCCTCCGTACCCACTCTCTTTCTCTGTCCGTCGACCCAAGCGTCGTCGGTCGACGCACCGCTCGCTCTCTCCCGAGAGAGAACCGGCGAGAATAGTTGTGCGGTACACACGAGCAAATAGGAGGACGTTTTCTAGCAGGCTGTTCGCTAGATCGAACGATTGGACGTACGCCAACTGCTCCGAGGAAATTCCTATGACAAAAATTCTCGGTTGTCACTCGATGTACACGCGTCGGTAGCGACGGCCGAGCCGTGATCACGCCAAACGATGCGTATCCCCCCGGTCGGAAAGGTCGATTTCTTGGCGATAAGAAGGGCGCCCATCCGATCTCTTTTACGTACACGCGCGGAACAACAACCGTCGGAACGATAGTGAACACGAAAAGCCGTAAATCCAGTCGATTAAAGTGCATCGCGGCGACACGACGACTCGCGATGCTCCCGCGACGAATTTTCGACGCGTGACACGCGCCTTGTGATGGAAATCTTCAATTTCTTTGTCACGCGCGACCGTGCGGACGATCCTACCGTGTATTTACGGAACCAAGCGCGTTGTTGACGTCTCTTCTGCGTCTCACGATCGCGAAATTGAAGTAGCGAAACAGTCGTATCGCTACGACGGACAATGTCACTACCGTCGCCTTTTTTTCTCGTTCGGTCAGAGGCATCGTGTTTACGGTAGTCGTGAGTGAAGAAAAGAAAAGAAAAAAAAAAAAAAAGAACTCACGGTACACTGCTCAAATCGCGAGAAGAGTCTGCTGTATTATTTGCCCCCGGTAATCAGCGTATCGAAGCGACGTCGTATTTTCGTCGCTTGGCTCTGATACACGAATCTCTGACGTATAAAAGCAAACGGAGCCGAGCTCGCGCGACCGTGTCTTGTATCCCGAGAAATTACTAGAGCGACGACGGCCGATGTATGTATCGTGCCGGGGTCCACCGTACTCTAACCATTAACAGTTTACTTAACGAGCAGATAAGAGAAGCGCAGAGGAAAATTTCCATCGAAGCTTTCCCGCGTCGAATCTTCGGCCCGTCGGGTCGCGATTCGTAGACGAGTATGAATCTTCTGGTTATTAAATTTCGATATTAAAGTTTCACGCTTTCCCGTCGTCTCTTTTAGTTATCGATATTTCGAAAAATGATCGAGTTCCCCGAATTCGCAAAAAGTATACCGCAACATTGCGCCTGTTGTTGGCTGAGTCATCGTCAGGAGACTGTTGTACCTCTGAGTATTTTTAGTTTTTTATTTTCCGAGAAGGATATTTATACTACTTGTAATCCGCTCATAATGAATGTATCATTTATTATCCTTCCCCTGAAATACTATTTCTGAGAATAATCAATAAAGAAATCAGCTTTTGTATTCCACGGAGTGAGAAACACACAGAGTGTAAAGTTTGGTTTTCGAAGCATCAAATTGCAACAATTTTCCGAGTGCGAACAGCAAACGATCGTGTTATGTGTAACACAATGAATATGTAAAACACACATTGTTCAGAGTTGGAGTACTCTCCATTTACTATCGGTGTATCGGTGAATTTCGTTCCAGGCTTTATCTCTGTTTGTGTACAATTTTTGGCAACGATTGCACAAGAGTCAACGAAAACACAAACAGCACGAGTCGATAGAAATGCGAGAAAGCAATTGAAACCCTCTTTCTACTATCTATTTCCTAAATATAACATTTTTATTTCCGTGTAATGAATTCTTTACATTGAATTTGAATGTGAAAGTAGTACAATATCGCTAGTTTATAACGTGGACACAGTTTATTTTCACATAAACGTTTCGATCGTTAATTTACGATCCTTGTCACGGTTTTTATCGCGCACTTCACACGCGGGCAAGAAGAACGTTTATCATTTTTCCTCCATTTGCTGACCACATGCATTATGTTACGCTGAATTCTTAAGCCTTCACTTCCGTCGGGAGTAATTGTTTAATTTTTATAACGTAACTAGATCTTTAGTTTTTGAAAACGAGATTTAGTGCATAGCGTCGAATCAAATTTTAAAACCGATCGTTTGCTAGTGTTAATTAACGTCAAAGGGAATTAAAGTCTACATAAAAAAAGTGAGATTAATTTCTTCTCGATTTTCCTTTAATCAATTTTATTAAAACATTAATTTATGGTTGCACCGGGCGATCCTGCTCGAAGTAGGGGAGAATGAATGATAGATCGATTACCAACCGTCTCCCTTCGTAGATAAATGCATCGTGGTTTTCTCGTTCGGAGAGCTCTTATTAGGCACGAGTAAAATTGAAAAAATAAAAAAACGACGCCACGCGCGAAACGAAGCACTGGATAGTGTTCTGCGCCGACGGAAGGAATCGCACGTCGTCATGAAATTTCTTGATCGCGTCGGTCCGAGTCGCGAACGTTCGTAATCCGAGAAAATAAAAATCGTTCCGAGCTACGGGGCAAAGGTTGTTACGATAAATATTGTCCAGGAGAGAGATGCTCGGCATAGCCGACGACCAAACAATAGCTTTTCATCATGCGCCGTTCAAAAGCGACTCGGTGGAATGACCGTACCAGCAGAGACGTTTAATGAACTTAATTATTTCGAACGTCGATGCTTAACCCCTTTGTTGACCGCTATACCACTGCTAAGCAGCAACATCGTTAGCTCCCAAACAGGTGGCCCCTCTGCGAGCACAGCGACAGCCACTACATGCATTCCTGTGTCGGGAATACAAGAATCTTCTTAATAAAATTACAGCCGCGTAAAACGAAGTCGGACCTTGAAAATTACCAGTATCTTTCGCTTTTACGTCTCCTCGTCGTTAGCTCCGATTCACTTGTGCGCCCATTTGCGCTCCCCGTTAAACAGACGCGTTCTTTTCGAATTGGTATTTACTACATGTGCAAAGAATCTCTGAAAAAGAAAGAAAGAGCCGAGTAACATTTCGCTTGAATAATAGGTGACTCTTTTCTTTTTTATTCTTCTTTCACTCTCACTCGTTTTCTTCTTCGACTAGATTCAGAATTTCGGATGACGAGTGCATGAGAAACGTGCTCCTTCGTACTCAGGATTCGTTACATGGTAGATTTAATTAACTAACGAAGTGCTGCTAGTCAAATAAAATCGAGCAAAAAATAGCGGTGTGATTCGGAGCAGGTTCGAAGTGGGGTGTGTCGCGGGTGGCACTTCTTAAAAAGGTTGTTTACAACTTTATTAAAGCGACGAGCGAGTTTGCGGTCGTGCGCGAAGCAGTGACTCTACTAAGCGCAAAAATGTGGAATAATATTTGCCGCGTAACGTAACCGACAGGGTGTACGCGCGCGCCTAGCCGACTTTTTATAATGGGTACGCCGATAAAAATGCCTCTCGCCAAGCCGCTACGACTGTTTTGCATAATTTCAGTTTAGGATACACGCGCGTAAATTGCTCACCGAGGTAATAAATCTCGTTGGAAACCGCTACGCTTCGGTCCCGTGGCTACCGATACCTACCGATAGCGGCGCTGCGTGCGCATATGTTCCGCGATACATCTAATGGCAATTAATGCGGGCAATTTAATGTAATTGCGTCGCATTTGTTACGCGGGGAAATACGCAACTTTGTGTATTTTTCGCTGGGCCGTCACGTGTCGTGCGAGATTAATGCGTATCCGTGGGCACGGTACGCCGCAGGAGTGAATTTTCTTCGCCAAAACGAGCAAAGAAGCGGCGAATAGCGCGGCGAGATCGATTAACCGGGTGGGATAGATAATTCAAAGGCGGTGTATCTCGATCGGAATCAAAAGAAAGCAATTCGTCGGGCAGGCCAATCTTTTTCGATGTGACGCGCGCGATCTGACAGAGCTGGATAAAAACTTGCTTTCTAATTAATCAGTCAAGCTAAGTATTCCCCGTACTTAATGACCGTAATTAGCTCTACATGCTTCGCGCGAGCACTGAAATTGCACGATTGACCTGTGCTTGGACCGTTCGGGGAAAATTAATGAGACGTAGGATGATCTACGCCAGTGGTGCACAACTTTTTTTTTACTGATTGGCCAAACAAATGAAATAATATTTTACAAATGGTAAAATTGAGTTTAGGAACGGGGAGAAAGATAGTGTCTTTAAAAATTGAACGCTTATTTTACATTAAAATTAAACATCGAGATTTGGTTATTATTTGTTCCTTTCAAAATAAATCTCGTTGATTTATCGAGTACCGTTGTATTTGCCGACGTTAACATCTATTATTACACAGTTTTACCGTAGGCGTCGTGACTATCAACTATACATACATGCGTAGCATCAACTTTTCCCGCTGTGCGCATCGTCATCCTCTTGCTGTGTATTAATCCACATGGATTTGTCAATCGCGAGAAGTATACCACAGATTACGTAATAATTATATCGTAGATGTGTATAGTGTCATCCCGTCCTCTGATATTCATCTCTCGTACCACACGTGTTCAAAGTATCCTTCCATCGTGGATAAAAAGCTTCATTCGATAACAACCAAATGACTTGTATTACTTTTGATTATTTTTGTGGAAACGTATTGAAGCACAATGGGATCTAAGCTATAATCAGTCGACAGACCTTCAATTAAAAACGTTCAATACGTTTAATGTATCACTCTTTATGTTAATAATCGGTTGATCGTTCATTCCACTTACTTAAAAAAAAAAAAAGGATCGATAGAGCAACGCTGTTAGCTGGAGATGAATTTACGTGGATAGCACAAAACGACGCGAATCGAAGCGTATCGATAGCGAAACTGACGAGCGCCGAACGCGGCGCAAAAATAGAATTTTATCATTATCAAACGATGTCGTGGCGCGTTATGCAACACTATAGTCACTTAATATTCACACGTTTCGTTTACACTGCTCGTGGTAGCGTAGGTATGTAATCCGCGAGCGGACGTGTCGCTTCGACGCAATTTCGACGTCGCGGTACTTTGCTTCCTTTTAGTTGACGACACGAATTTCGGACGTGCGATATTACGCGAAACGCTAGGGAAATGGAGCAGAAAGAGGTATCATTTGTCCACGCGTATAATGCTTCAGGAAGGAAAATATACATTTTCTTGATGTACCTTCTCAGTTAATTTTTAGTTGGAACCTCTTTAAATAAACTTCTTTGTACCCCACTGCACAGAGTAGTTACTATGAAGTGGGGTAAGTAGAGACACTGCTTTAAAATTATGTTAAATCGTTAATTAATCTTTATTGGGAGACTAGAACATTAGCAAATTTTTTTCAATGTTTATAATAGCAATGAATTAACATTATGACAAATAATGAAGAATATCAATCATAGAGATACAACATCGTGAAGACATAAAATAAAAATAGGTAACCTTACAAGTAATACAAATTAAGCAGCAGAACGACAGTTTGAAATTTCGATTCTATCCACTCAATTGTACGCTAAACTTTAATATAGGGTAATTGACAATTTACAGAAAATCTATCTTTCTATTCCGCAAGTATCCTGAAGAGGTAACTTTTCGATGTTTCGACGGGTGTCTTTAATTTTCGTTTCGGTGGGTCGCGTGATCCGAGGAATATCACAGTGCTGCTGTGTTGAGCGGCAAGGGTGGTTGAGTAATGACTAACGAGTAATGCGCCGACATAAGTAAGCATTAAGTAACGAGTGGCACTCGCACGTGCACACTCAGCCGCGGCACACTTGACTGTGCGCGAGGTTACGACTACGGTTGTCTCGGTTGATCATGATGTTCCTTTCATTCAGGTCCCGATTAACGATCTGCAGATGTATTTAACGAGTCTAAAAGCGGCACTGTGGTTTACCGAGCCGTTCTCGAGCGTTGCGTTACAGAAAACCATTTCGTCGATGAACACGGAACAGCTCGCGTCTATTCCGACCGAGTCGATCCGAATTGCGCCAAAGCTTTAATTATCTTTTCTGGTACTCGAACATGGACGATCTACGAATTCGCTTCGCAGGGAGATGCAATAGGATCCAACTCGATTCTTGGTCGCGTTGGATGCTGTTGATAATCTCGGTTGTAAACAAAGACCTGAGAGTTAATTGAGTGTTCAGAAATTTACTTTGCTATTTCTTACAATTCTACACGTATCTGCGACGAACTTGTAGCTTTTGGAGCGTTATCTGCGAAACCTCGCAAAGGGTCAACATAGTACATGGAGGGATTTGAATCGAACCTTAACCATTTACCGAACGAGAGCAATTTTCCGAATCAGATTCCACCAGTATTTGATTTCACTCCGAAAGTGGTCCTCGTCATCCGATTAAGGATGGCGCGTTCCATCGCAGCGGATGAAGATCCACGGGAAAGAGACTAGGGAAGATGAGCAAGGCGAAGTGGGAAGAGACAAAGGCAAAGGAGAGAAGATCGACGGTATCGGCGGCGATCGCCTTGCTAGCCTGGAAATCCAGTTACTCCGGCAGGGGCCTCGAGACAATGCGCAGAGAGCAACCTCGTGCAATGCCGCCTCGGGAGAGCTGGTTGGGTGAGCGCGACGAAAATAACTCCGGCAGGAGAATATTACGGCACTTTGCAATGAGGAGAGACCAATGAAAAGAGAAGACCGGCCGCGCGGTGAACAAGAGAGGAGGAGAGACAAAGAAGCAGCGAGCTGAGGAGGGAGAAACCGCGATACGATCGGATAAAAAGACAAGAAAGAGGGATAGGGATGATAGAGGGAGGGGAACAGTGGAGACAGAGTGCAGAGGATGCGTTTGTGCACGTGTATGGTGCATACACGATAAGAAAAGACGAGGAAGGGAAACGAGGGTGAAAGAGGAGAGACGTCGCACGAATCGACTCCTGGCGAACCATTCGAAACGACCGACAGGCGGTCGTCTTCTTTTGGTCCGTGACGCGATTGGTCGATCGGCCAATGACTGGTTCTCCGTGCTGGGCAATGTGCACCGCGTGCACCAGACCCCCTCGTTTCCGCGCCCGATGAAGTGCACTCGCGACATTGTACAGTGCACTTCATTGACGGCCGCAAAACTGGTCCAACGCGCGGCATAAAACTCCGTTAGAACCAGTTCCCCGCGAAACGAGCTCAACCCCTGGGTCCGAACCTCTGCCGCTGACGAGAGTTTTCTTTCGGGGACCTACTCGCCGCCCGCGAGAAGAACGAACCTGGCAATTCTCACAAATTGGCCTAACCTTGCTACGTTACTTCATTACTTCGCTAATCCTGGAGAAATCGCTTATTCATGAGATTCATTCAGGATCAGAACCTAAAACCAGCCTTGCGAAGAAAGCCAGACGTTGTCAGATTCATTCTCCTTCTGCGCAAACGGTACCCTAAAGAAATCCGTGAGTCTCCTACTCGTTAACTCCAAAAGCAGCCTTCCTGTTTCGCCCAACGAAAATAGGAGCGTTGCGAGAATTCGGTAGACCAAGTTCACGGGAAGCGATCTATTAATCCTCGAATTCCCGCGTCGGACAAAAATATAGATCCGAAGATCAAAGGTCCTCTAATTGGTGGATCCTGAAATTGTCAGTGGCGGCGCTACAAACGATCCCTGGCGTCGAGTCGTTTTTAGAACTACCGCGACGCGTCGTATCTGGTTCGAATGTATCCTCCGTACGCGCGACGTGCTTGGGATCTATGGATCACGCTTTTCTTCCCTTTCACGAGTGGCGTTCGAGTTGCACGAATACCGGGAAATCCTGGTAGCTGCCAGCATGTCTGCCAGCACTATCGGCGGAATCCGAACGTTCACGGAATCGTCCGAGCAATTCCGATTCCGAGTTTGCTGTACGCGGCGCGGTCGCATACGCGCGAGGCCAGTCCCATAAAACCGTAAACGTCGATTACGCAATGATGTAATATAATAATGGATATTGTCCCGGCAATGGAGATTCCGACAGATAGAGTTTCTTATTGCTTCGGTGAAACACGGTCACAATTGATACTTGGCAGGAAACCGCGTCAACGCGACGTGTTCCTTGGGCCCCAAGTTCTTTTTTTCGTCCTTCTCTTTCCGTCGTGTGTAAGTTGCATTCGCGATCGGTCGTGGGAACCGATACTTTTTACAGTCGAAGTAATGAAGTAGTTTTACACGTGGTACTTGCCGATAGTCGAATAGAAAAAGAATTTTTAAAAAAGTCGGCCTCCGAGTTAGGATACTGGTCGACAGATGGATAAAATACGACGCGTAAAGTGTAGAATCTACAAGGGTTTTTGGATCTTTAACACCAACTCCAATTACGTGAATCGTGAAAGGTTTAAAAATTTCCCGCCAACTCGGTCGTATTATACGAAACGCGCTCCGTTTTAGAAGCGGTCGCAGCATTCGTCGGTTATTTAAGAAGTAAAAACGTAACTGATACGAGAGGCTCGCGGTTTGTTCAGATCTCATAAAGATATGCTTATTCATCCTAATGGTAGGTTGTCGACGTGGAGACGCCTCTATCAAAGACGTCGGTATCTACAAAGAGGTTCGTCGAGATTTTCTTTTCGTTCCCACCATTCTGCGGCTGACGAGCAATTCTGCCTCCGCCCTCGTTCCTTTCCCGGCTTCACCACCGTACCTCTCTTCATCCATTCGCGAAACGACGAGGATGAGACACCATCGTCTCGAAATTTCGCAACGCGAATTTGCATTAAAATGAACACCCTCGAAAGAAACGACTTAAAAAGGGAGAAGGACGATTAGGAGATCGAGCGTGGTGGGAGATCATGAACGAGGAGGAAATAGCAGTAGAAGGGAAGGAGTGGCAAAAAAGAGAAAAATATCGGGAGGAAAAAGAAACAGGAAGAAGACGAAGAAAAGTGGCCAACCGGCTGGCCGCAACGAACTTGAAGTAAACCAAACCTACCGGTCCTACCGCTACCACTACCACCTACCGAACTATTACCTACAGCAGGTCTATATCTGGACTCTGCCTCGTCTCTTATCCGATGCACCACCGTGTGCCGGAATAGTGAAATCATCTACGTACCTCCAGAGCTATGTGGGTGTTCCGGAGTCTCGACTCTCATCAGGATCGAAGGGGAGCAACGAGGCTCGCCCTTCCTCCGAAGGTGTCAACTTCGTCGCGAGTGGACTAGTCGATGACCACCTCGGATGAAACAGACTTCTCGTATTCGAAGAGAAAGAGCCAGATTCACTCTTTTCATCCGCGAACACTATCCGAACGAACGAGGGCAATAGCTTAAAGAAGTCTCTATGAAAGAGTTTCCTAGTCGTTAACTCGATCTAAATTTTCCAAACTACAAATCTTTCGCGGGATCACCTCTCGTTAGTTCGATACTTCGACTACCATCGCAAAGCCTATTAAAAATCGATCCTTACGCTTGGTAAATCCGAGCACAGGATGGCGTAATCTCTGATCGATTCGCGTGTAAATCGTACATCCGTTTGGATCGAACTTTTCCTCAGGGCCGCGTGGCTACGCAGCTGCCCGGTGTAATTAATACGCGATCCTCATTCGCGGTGTTACGTAAGCCCGTAGCGTGGAAAGACGCCGACAGGAAAAATCGCGACGCGAGAAAAATGGAATGAAAATAAGACGAGAACGAGTCGGGCCTCGTTTGCTCGCGTGAATCGATCGATTAAAATCGTCGGCGTGCCGACAACATAATCCGGGCTCGCATGGCCCGAGTGATTAGAAATCCGTGAGCGTCGCCTGAATTGACGCGATTACGTTTACGAGCGCCGCGACAACATGATCAGCCGCAAAATGAACGTGACACGCGCCGGGCAGGTGTGTTTACACGTGGAACATAGGCAGAACCACGAGCCTCGAGCATTTGTCACTTCGACGACAAAGAACCCGATGGCAGTGCGGCGACGAGCTTTTTGTTTCATTGAGTGATGATTCAACGAAGCGTTGTAGTTGGAAATTATGGGTGGATAACTGATGCTCCGAGGCGACGAGAACGCCTGGTTTTTGCGCTCGCGGTAGGGATGGATGTGCGATCCGGCGACCAATCGGAATTCGTTTTTCTTTGAAACAAGTCTATGCTAATTTGCGCAGTTCTACGCCGATTATTTTATTGGACGACCGCGGGAACTAGAAATAATTCGGATGTAGTTATGCTCAATTATCGACGATACTCGTTGATAATAGAGTAGTTATCGTATCGGTAGTCTCATGCCTCCTGTTTTGCCAGGACATCGAATGCATGGCATCGTCGGCTCCGTTTTTTTGCGGCTATTCGATTACGAGGAGCTGCTCGGTGTACCCACAGGTTCCTGTTTCTGTAGATTATAGACTGCGTGTCGTGCCCAGTGCATGAAGTATTTCAGAATGCGACGCGGTCTGATAGCAAACGTATTCCATGTACTTCAATAATAGCAGACACATTATTATTTTAAGTAAACTCCCAGCTTCGATGTGCCTCTCAGATACCGTTGAACGATCTCTATGTTTCAAATATCGAAATCAAAGAGAGAA